TAAGTTTGTACTTACCAAAAATGATATGTATATAGGCAAAGGCTATGTAAAAGATGGACTATTCAAAATGAATGTCCTAACTGTTATGCCAAATGCTACAATCAATAAAATGTCATCTTCAGAGTCATGCAATTTATGGCATCATAGATTAGGACATGCAAACTTTAATTCAATACGAAAGTTAATGAATTTAAGTTTACTTCCGAATATGCATTTTAATAATGGAAAATGCGAAACATGTGTAGAGGCAAAAGCGGCCAAAACACCATTTCATTCGGTTGAACGAAACACCACACCATTAGAACTAATTCACACAGATGTGTGTGATTTGAAGTTAGTACAAACAAGGGGTGGTAAAAAGTACTTCATCACATTCATAGATGATTGTACAAGGTACTGTTATGTGTACTTGTTAAAAAGCAAAGATGAAGCTTTGGAAGTGTTTAAACACTACAAAATTGAAGTTGAAAATCAACTTGGAAAACGAATTAAAATGATTCGTAGTGATAGAGGTGGAGAATATGTTGCACCATTTGAAGAATTTTGTGCAGAATCTGGAATAATTCATCAAACAACGGCACCATATTCACCACAATCTAATGAAATTGTTGAACGCAAAAATCGAACGTTAAAGGAAATGATGAATGCAATGTTGATTAGTTACCTCAAAACTTGTGGGGGGAAGCCATACTTTCTGCAAATCATATCCTTAATAAAATACCACACAAAGATAAGGTTGAATCACCTTACGAATTATAGAAAGGTCGGAAACCTTCCTACAAATATCTCAAAGTGTGGGGGTGCTTAGCAAAAGTACAAATACCCAAACCTAAACAAGTTAGGATTGGACCAAAGACAATTGATTGTGTCTTTATTGGATATGCTATCAATAGTAGTGTATATCGATTCTTATTCTTGGTTCACAAATCCGAAGTACTTGATGTACACGTAGGTACAATTATTGAATCAAGAAATGCGGTCTTTTTTGAAGACAGTTTTTCGTATAAAGAAAAGGAAGTAAGTTCAAATAAACGAACTTATGATAACATACATGGAAAGAATGATGATCTTCAAGTAAATGAAGAACCGAGACATAGTAAAAGGCAACGAATTTCAAAGACATTCGGTCCAGAATTCGTAACCAATTTACTTGAAAATGATCCTAGGACATTTGATGAAGCAATGTCCTCTCCCGAAGGTCCTTTTTGGAAAGAAGCTGTACACAATGAAATTGAATCCATCATGAGTAACCATACTTGGGAATTGGTTGAACTTCCTCCGGGAAACAAAGCTTTAGGCTGTAAATGGATCTTCAAAAAGAAATTGAAGTTGGATGGATCAATTGATAAATACAAGGCTAGATTAGTAGCCAAAGGGTATAGACAAAAAGAAGGGCTAGATTTCTTTGATACCTATTCACCCGTTACAAGAATTACGTCTATACGTGTCTTGATCGCAATCGCAGTATTGCATAATCTTGAAATACATCAAATGGATGTCAAAACCGCGTTTCTAAATGGTGAATTAGAAGAAGAAATCTACATGGAACAACCTGAAGGGTTTGTTGCACCAGGAAATGAAAAGAAGGTGTGTAGACTTGTAAAATCATTGTATGGATTGAAACAAGCACCGAAGCAATGGCATGAAAAGTTTGATAAAACTATGTTGTCAAATGGCTTCAAAATCAATGAATGTGACAAATGTGTCTACATTAAAACCGCACCTAATGAATATGTAATCATATGCCTATATGTTGACGATATGCTAATTATGGGAAATAACTCCAAAGTCATTTCCTCAACTAAGAAAATGTTAACAAAACATTTTGACATGAAGGATATGGGAGTGACGGATGTAATATTAGGGATTAAAATCTCTAAGACATCCGATGGTTTGTCATTGTCTCAATTACATTACGTTGAGACTATACTTAAGAAATTTAAGGCGTATGATGATAAACCGGTTAAGTCACCAGTTGACTTAGGTATTTACTTAGCCAAGAATACTGGTGAGCCCGTATCTCAATTGGAATATTCGCGTGTCATTGGTAGTTTAATGTATATTACCAACTGCACAAGACCGGATATAGCATACATAGTCAACAAGTTGAGTAGATTCACTAGTAATCCAAGTATCGTACATTGGATGGCATTAAACCGAGTTCTTAGATATTTAAGACACACGGTTGAATATGGATTACACTACTCAAAATATCCTGCGATATTAGAAGGATATACTGATGCAAATTGGATATCTGACACTAAGGATTCAAAATCCACGAGTGGTTATGTATTTACCATTGGAGGTGGAGCCGTGTCCTGGAAATCGTCTAAGCAAACATGTATTGCTCGATCCACGATGGAATCTGATTTTATTGCGTTAGACAAAGCCGGTGAAGAAGCAGAATGGCTTCGTAATTTTCTTGAAGAAATTCCATGTTGGGAAAAGCCGGTTTCTGCGATTAATATACATTGCGATAGTCAGTCGGCAATAGCAAGGGCACAAAACAGTATGTATAATGGTAAGTCTCGACATATCCGTCGGAGACATAATACCATTAAACAGTTAATATCGAATGGTATAATCTCTATTAATTATGTGAAATCAAAAGAAAGTTTGGCTGATCCTTTGACGAAAGGACTTGCAAGAGATCAAGTTTACCATCTTTCGAGGGGAATGGGCCTAAAGCCTATTGAATAGAATTACTATGACGGAAACCCAACCTTGTAGATTGGAGATCCCAAGATCTTGGTTCAATGGGACAACTAAGTCATAAATGATTCAGAATAAAGCACTTATTCCCATTCCTAAAATTTAAAGTGCTATATAAAATGTGTATAAGGATAAGTATACATATATACTTTTAATGATTCATAACCTTGAGATAGAAAGGTATGAAATCACCTATATAAGTGTGAAATGAGGCCGTTTCTACGAGAATTCGAGGCTTAATTCTCTTAGAGCACTTATGAAACCAAGAGTTGTCCAGTGCCAAAATGGACTCAACCATGAGAACCGAATAGGTTAGATGAGTCATGGTGTTGGTACAGTTGTTTGGTTTTACACGAACGGCTGGATGGTTCAAGATATCGCGTTCACCAACTAGTTTAGTAAATCCGATTGTATTCAACTAAAGAAGGTTCAAGGCCACAAGCTACCTATCTTGATGCTATGACTTGTCGTGTGTACTCCATTTGTTAGAGTCTGCATTTCATTTGCATTGCATTCGCATTGTGTTGCGCATATCGAGGAATTTCCATTCATGTGGGGGATTGTTGGATATTGGTTAAATAAATCGAGAATTGAAAATCGATTAAAGTGACTTCGTATCGACTTCTTCGAAAATCAATATCGGATGAATGAGAAATTACGAAAAAGGACGAAAATCAGTGAATAGACACCTTTTCATAAAGGTGCATTGTTTGGCCTCAACCATTAGTGAATAGACACCTTTTCATAAAGGTGCATTGTTTGGAAAGGGTGCATGATTTGGCTTCAACCCTTTCGTCCACACCCTTTCATGGTCTATAAATAGGACCCTTTGGGTGTCCTATTCCTCACAATTTGATATGCAAAACATCTCTCATCCTCTCTTCTATCCAAAATCAAAATCATTTCATTTATTTTGATTTTCCTTCATTTCATCCTTGGAGTACATAAGCCTAAATTTGGTTTGTTGTACTTGTGTTTTGGAGTGCTACAAACACAAGTGTAGCCGTTGTATTTTGGGAGTCGATTGCCGAAATCCGTAGGCACCGTTGCGAGGCAAATTCGACTTAAGGACAAAGAGTCCAACTCTTGCCTTGGCTTTGTCCCTACTTTCTTCTTCTTCTTGTTTGTGTTTTCTTTGCCGTTAATCTGTCCAATTTTCGGCACGGATTTACAAACATCATTATACTTATTTTGGCGTCACTATTCACAAAATTCCTCCAACAGATGCCACACTCCAACTAAGTTATAGCTAAAATTTTAAATTTCATTTTAAATTTTTAATTAATTTTTTCCTGTTAAAATTTTTCTTTTATAACTTCAACCCCCGGGCCCCCCAAAACCCCGGGTTTATTCTTTAATTGTTGACTACACAAATCCATCTGTATTTTCCCACGTGGCAAAAGTAATGATGAAGAAAATAGCCCCAGATGAAATTAATTATTATCCCTTAAAAATATATAAATCATTATTGCTTCTACCTGTATATAGAATCAGTAAATATTTATTACATATAAATGCACATTAACTTCTATTATGTACAGAATGGTACCAATAACTTTTATTCTTTTTATAGAGCTTATACTATACGTGTCACATTTCTGGCCAAGCTTAACAAACGTAAAAATTACTTTCAAGGAAGTATTTGTTTTCAAATATCTATCAACCACCTACATTTTTTCTTACATCCTTATTTTCAACTCTCACCAATAAAAAGATTCTTAATAAATAATTTACTTATAATTAAACCATATTTTTTTCAAAAATTTATTTTTTTCAAAACTTATTTTCAATTACACATTCTCCTATAAAATAATTTTACACGTAAATCAATTTTTTATTTTTAAACTACACATTCTCCAAAACTTCACCATTCCAAAGTACATTTTCTTACAAAAATGGGGCTCAAACAAGAGCTAAGTATACAAATATAAGAATGGAAAATAAAAACATCAAAAGAATAATTCGAACATATTATGTTCCCTATTTATTTTGCATTGTACGAAATAATAAGCCCAAGCCTACGTTGGGTTTATTATTTCTATGCGTTTATAAATACTTTGATCAAAAAATATTTTTGATTAAATTATTTTTATCCACAAATACTATCCACTTTTGCACTGTTCATTTATCTCTATTTATAAACATATTGTTAGACAATTTAAGGTACCAAAAGTGTAAAATTACTCACAAAAGTAGGAGTGATATGGTAAATTGGTAAAATTTGGATTTGGACAAGAAATAAAGAGACAGCAGGGTTATCGTATCACGGTCCAAACAAAAGGCATTCATTTCCCAAATACTCAAATCAAAATACAGATTTGTATGCGATTAGCATGTAAGAAGTAGACAAGCTCGCGTAGTGTCGTGCATGCATTTCAATTTAAGCACCTGTTTCCTTTGCATGCACACACGATTTCTCTCTCTATTCTCCTCCGTCTCTCTTTCTCTCTCTACAGATACATATCTATTTGTAAACTCGTATCTATATCTCTGCATCCTCTGTTTAATTCTTATTTTAATTTTAAACTCTTCCAAAAGTAGGGCCACCGACCTCCGCCCGCCGCCGTTGGTTTTCGCCGCTTTCAGATTCACTCCACCGACCGCCGCCCGTTGGTTTAGAGACTTGACTTATGGGGACGTCATGTTGCATAGATTTGAAAAAGGTTGAGATTTTTTTTTTTAATCGCTATGTGATGTGGAATTTATTTATTTATTTTTAGTGGAATTGAAATTTTTCATGAAAAATTTTAATCTCGGTTTGTAATAAGATTTCTTCGATGGGGTTTTGATTTTGATTTTCTGTTGAAGGTTTTACGGTGATTTTGAGTTGAATGATTGAATTTTACGAGAAATGGGGTCAAAGATTTGCATGAATGAGTTGTGCCGTGCAACGACGTCGTCGGAATGTAAGAAAGGTTGGGGCTTGAAATCAGGTGGATTTGCTATTCTCTGTTACCGCTGCGGGTAATTTCTGGATCCCAATCTTACCCCTGTTCGATGAAAATTTCATCCATTACTTCTATCCGGTTGATTTCATATTGTGAAGGGTAGTTTCGGGATATGCAATTTGATCCCAAGAATAACGCACAGCAGGAGATTTTTTATTTTTATTTTTATTTTTTGTTTTATCACGGAAAATTTAATTCATCTCACGCTGAATTTTTTCTATATTTAGGATTTTCTTTTGTTGCTGTTTCATTTTTAGCATTCCCTATTTTTTCACACCTTTTTTTTTTTTCACTATATTCCTTCTTGGTTTTTGATTCTTTTTGTTGAATATTTGTTCAAAATCAATGGAATGACAATGGGCTAAGGTTCCTTTGGGGAGCGATTTTGAGAATTGATTTTTTTATCATTACGAGAAAAGTGGGGACCACTTGTGAGAGAAGAAATCAAACTTTACGACTGAAATAGTGAAATAAATGTCAAAAAATCAATTTTTTTAGGTGAAAAATCACTCCCAAATGGCCCTTAATTGTTGGGCTCATTGTGGAATCAATGGAATCAAAAGAAGTTGAAAAATGGAAAATTTGATTTTTACCCTTTGGGGAGCGATTTTGAGAATTGATTTTTTTATCATTACGAGAAAAGTGGGGACCACTTGTGAGAGAAGAAATCAAACTTTACGACTAAAATAGTGAAATAAATGTCAAAAAATCAATTTTTTTGGGTGAAAAATACTCCCAAATGGCCCTTAATTGTTGGGCTCATTGTGGAATCAATGGAATCAAAAGAAGTTGAAAAATGGAAAATTTGATTTTTACCTATGTGTAATTTTGTGCGTACACGAGATGTGTTTTGGCTAAAACAGAATCAAATTTGCTTCTACTATGCGTACGTTAGGTTTATACTATGCTTACGTAAAGTGTTAAAAAATAGCCGTTCTTAGGCACCATTTTCGATTAAAAGTTGACAATTTTCATCATGTTTATATACCATTTCGTGGTGTATTGATTGATGCCTATAAATAGGCGATGAATGATCAATACAAACACATTAGAAACATTGAACATTTTGAGATCCACATATCATTCCACATTGAATCAAACTATTGATTTACATTCATATTCAATATCTTCCTTCGTGTTCTTAAAGTTTTGGAGGATTGTGCTTGTGCTTCATTGTTAAATCCTTTAGAAAACTTGATATAATCCTACAAACTGTTTGCCAAAACTTTTAAGTATCTCATTCAATCTCGAGAGGGGGCGAATATCGTTTGAGGACAGTGATCCCACGTTCGAGCCTTCGAATTTGTTCTTGACAATCTTTTGATTTCTTTATCTTGTTGCTGTAATTTTTTGTTATTCCTTTTGTTTCTTCTCCAAACCCCTTTGTTTCCAAGAATCTCAAACAATATTTCTATGATGGAGAGCGAGACAACAATGGTAACAATCAAACTTACGAATTAAGACCTGGTGTGGTTAGATCTGTTCGATGGCACAAACTTCACGCGGTGGCAAGCTAAATTAAAGTTTCTTTTAACGGCATTGAAGATCATCTATATCCTTGATCATCCTTGATCTAGATTTGGCACCATTATCGGAACCCGCAAATGGAGAGACCGAAGCAATCAAAGTCGAAAGGCAGAAACGTCAAGAAGATGAATTGACTTGCCGCGGTCACATACTCAATGCGTTGTTGGATCGCTTGTATGATTTATATACCAACACGACATCGACGAAGGAGATTTGAAATGCCTTGGAAAGTAAGTACAAAACGGAAGAGGAAGATATCAAGAAATTTTTGATTTCAAAGCACTTTAACTTTAAATTTCTTGATAATATCCCCTTACTTCCCCAAGTACATGAATTGAAAATAATTGTCAACAAACTAAAGGGGTGAAAATTGAAATCTCGGAGACCTTTCAAGTGGGGGCTATAATTGCTGAAATCCTGGAGACTTGAAACGGATACCGGAAGAAGATCATGCATAGTTTCGAAAATTATTCTTTAGAACAATTCCAAAAGTATCTTTGGATTGAAGAAAAATCCAGATTGCGAGATAAGAGTGAAAACTCTTTGGAAGGAACTTCCAAGACTAATGTTGAGGAAAAATCTGAACCGTCTATGAAATCCAACCAGCAGAAGCCTTCGAGGAATCTTAGTAAGTCCAAGAAAAAAACCAAAGGAGGATGTTTTGTATGTCAATAATTCGGTCACTATGCTAATGAGTGTAGATACCGAAAATAAAACAATTTCGAGGGTAAAGTGAATTCTATCCAAGATATCATATGACAAATCCTTATTCAAAACATATCACGTGGTGGATGGAGTCTAAGAGATTCAAATGGATAACGAGGTTCGGTCCAAGGTGATTGGAAAAGGAAATATTAATATCATCTTCACTTCCGGAAAAACTGTTACTCTTATAAATGTACTACATGTTCCGGATATGAATAAGAACTTAGTGAGAAGTAATCTCTTATGAAAATCGGGTATCAAATGTTTGTATGAATCCGGTAAACTTGTACTCTCCTTTAAGGAGAAATTTATTGGTAAAGACTATTATACTGAAGGAATAGTCAAACTTTGTACTGTTGACAAAGAAATGAATAAAACTAATTTTGCTTGTATTGTTAATTCTTTTTCATTATGGCATGCTAGATTAGGTCATATTGGTAGAAGTAATGTGAAACACATGAAAAATTGGGACTTGATTTCATATGATAAAAATAATGAAAGTAAATGCAAGATATGTGTAGAATCTAAGATGATTAAAAAGCCTTATCATAGCGTGAAAAAGATTTCTAGTATTTTAGAACTAATCTATACCGATATATGTAAACTAAATGACATGTTAATTAGAGGTGGAAATAGGTACTTCATCACCGTTATTGATGACTTTTCTAGATGTACATATGTTTACTTATTAAAGTATAAAAGTGAAACCATTGATATGTTTAAGGTGTATAAGAATGAAGTTGAAAATTATTTAGGAAAGAAAATTGAAACTTTAAGGAGTGATAGAGGTGGTGAATACTTTTCCATTGACTTTAACTTGTTTTGTGAACAACATGGCATAATTCACCAATATTTTGCACTAAAACACCAGAACAAAATGGTTTGGTTGAAAGAAAAAGTAAAATTTTAGTTGAAATGATTAATGCCATGCTTATTTATGCTAAATTGCCATTTAACTTGTGGGGTGAAGTTTTATCAAGTGCATGTAGGATAGTTAATAGAATTTTTTCTAAATATACAAAAGTTTCTCCTTATAAATTGAGGAAAGGAAGAAAATCGAACATTGAATATTTCAAAGTGTGGGGGCATCTTACTTATTGCAAGAACACGAACCCAGTCGGGCCAAATTGCGACCAAGAGGCATTAAATGTGCCTTTGTTGGATACGCTAATAATAGCAAATCTTATAGATTATTAAATTTGGAGATCAATGTGATTATCGAATCTAGTGATGTAGAGTTCTTTGGGGATTCACTATCTTCGAATAATGAATTGAGGGAAAATCTTGAAAATATCCCTAACTCAAGTGGAACACGTGATGAAATGTCTTCTAAAGACATTGATGAGTCTAATGAACAACGAAGAAGCAAAAGAACTCGAGTTGAGAAGTTTTTGGGATCAGATGAAATTGAATATCAACTTATCTCCTTTTAATTGGTAGAGAGAAATGATTTGAATGTTGTAAGAACAATTCCTTTTGTTCTACAAGTGGAAATCGATCCTAAAACTTATAAAGAAGTTATGACTTTTCGTGATAGTATCTTCTAGAAAGATACAATAAAAGATGAAAATGGAATCGATAATGTCTAACAATACTTGGGAACTTGTTGATATATCACCGAGATCCAAACTCATTGGATGTAAATGGGTATTTAGGAGAAAATATAATGTTTAAGGCTCTCTAAATACTTTTAAGGCTAGATTAGTAGTCAAAGGATATCGACAAAAGGAAAGAATCGACTATTTTGACACTTATGTACTGGTTGCTAGAATAACATCGATTAGGATATTATTCCATTAACTTCGATATATGACTTACATATTCATCAAATGGATGTGAAGACGTCATTCTTAAATGGGGATCTCGATGAGAAAGTTTATATGGAACAATTCGAAGGGTTTGCTCTACTTGAAAACGAACATAAGGTGTGCGAGTTGGTGAAATCCTTAAATGGTTTAAAGCAGGCACCTNAATTCGAAGGGTTTGCTCTACTTGAAAACGAACATAAGGTGTGCGAGTTGGTGAAATCCTTAAATGGTTTAAAGCAGGCACCTGAGAAATGCACAAAAAGTTTGAGTTAGCTATAATATCATTTGGTTTTAAGATAGTGTAGATAAATATTTATATTCTAAAGTATGTGAAAATTATGTGACATTTATATGCTTATATGTTGACGACATGTTGATTATGAGTAATCATATGGATGGTACAGAAGAAACGAAGAGATTTCTAGCTTCTAAATTCAAAATGAAGGATTTTGGACAAGTGGATATCATTTGAGGTATCAAAGTCACCAAGACTAGTGGGGGGTTACCATTTAAGTCAATCACATTACATTGAGAATGTGATAAATAAGTTCAAACATTTGAACTTAAAGGAATATAGTATCCCAATCGATCCAAATTTAACAATTGTGAAGAATAGTGAAGGCGATTGCTCAATTGGAGCATGCAAGTGTTATAGGAAGTCTTATGTATGCAATTCAATGCACAAGACCGGACATAGCCTATGTAATAAGTAAACTTAGCAGGTTTACTAGCAATCCGAGCAATGATCATTGGAAGGCCATTGGGAGAATTCTTGGATATTTAAAGAAAACCAAGAATTGGGCCTACAATACACTAAATTTCTAACAGTATTGGAAGGATTTACCAATGCTAGTTGGATACCTAGCACGGGTGAAAGTAAATTCACCTCGAGTTGGGTGTTCATTCTAGGAGGAGGTGCTGTTTTTTGAAATCAAAGAAACAAATATGCAAAACACACTCGACCATGGACTCTGAATTTGTAGTGCTATCGAATACCGGGAAAGAGGTTGAGTGACTTAAGGATCTCTTTTATGAAATATCTTTGGGATCGAAGAATATTTCTTTAATACCTATCATGTGTGATAGTCAAACCACATTAGCAAAAGCATATAGTGAGGTATACAATGGAAAGTCTAGACATATGAATCAAAGACATGACTACATAAGGAAATTAATTAAAAATGGAATAATTTCCCTAAATGATGTAAGGTCAATCGAGAATTTACAGGATATTAAAAAGGTCCACCAATAACGACAACCCTACTTGTCATTACTTAAAAGCTAATCCATGGGTTCAAAGAGTAACAAGAAGTCATTCGATATATGGATAGTTGCAGCATTTTTTAAATTCACGATAACCTTATCCTAATTAAATAATGTTGGTTGTTACTGAAGTGAGGGTTGAGTTTAAAGCTCTTAATGAAGTTTAGTACTAAAACACAAGTATCTCTAAAAGTAACAAAGATACTGAAAGAACTTCACCTAAATGAACTTTCAGGTGGTGCCACTTCAATAGATAGTTGGAGTTTCTCTCTTAAAAGTTCGTTGAATAGGATGAGAGAAAGGCCATAATAGCGCTAAGTGAGTTGAGGAACTTGAGAACACGTGATACTTATATGCGTGTTCTTACTGGTATTGTTACAAGGAATAATTGATTCAAAACTTCTATGCGATCTCTAATTTCGACTTTACTTTGTTTGAACTACACTATGGTTATATTCAAATCGAAAGATATCTAATCCTTATGCATAAGTGTTGTCATTTTGAATATATGATCGTATTGATTTTGAACAAGTGGGGGATTGTTGAACATTTATTCAAAATCAATGGAATGACAATGGGCTAATTGTTGGGCTCAACTGTGGAATCAATGGAATCAAAAGAAGTTGAAAAATGGAAAATTTGATTTTTCCCTATGCGTACGCATAGGCTTAATTTTGTCCGTACATGAGATGTGTTTTGGTTAAAACAAAATCAAATTTGATTCTACTATGCCTACGCATAGTGTTAGAAAATAGTCGTTGGCTAATTTTTCAATTTGAAACTTGGGGACCGTTTTCGATTAAAAGTTATCACTTTTCATCATGTTTTGACATCATTTCGTGGTGTATTGATTGATGCTTATAAATAGGTGATGAATGATCAATACAAACACATTAGAAACATTGAAAAACTTCTTGAGATCCATATATCATTCCACATTGAATCAAACTATTGATTTACATTTTTATTCAATATCTTCCTTTGTGTTCTTAAAGTTTTGGAGGATTGCACTTCTACTTTAGTGTTAAATCCTTTACAAGGCCTGATATAATCCTACAAATCTTTTACCAAAACCTTTAAACTATGTAGCACCAATACGCTGCCGACGATAGTGTATCGGTGTCCGACACGTCGCTGACGCGTGTCGGAGTTGCTTGCAGCGTGTCGGACGATTGATGGGCAGCTGAGTTGAAAGGAAGAAATGCAACCGCAGTTGGAGGAAGAAATGCAACTGGAGTTCAGTTTCTCGTCTGGGAAGGAAGAATAAAAAAGAGGAAAGAAAAAAGAGAGAAAAGGGAAGAAGAAGAGACCTGGCCTGAAAATGGAACCTGTAGAACTAAAAAAATTAGAGAAGACGATTGGAAATGGAAAGAAATCAGAGAAGAAGCTGGAATAGGAAAGAAATCAAAGAAGAAAAGATAAAGAAGAAAAAGGGACGGCTATAAATGATGAAAATCTCCTATACCAATGAATATTTTAATTTGTAGGGCCCACCATTGTAAAATCTTGTACCATTTTGTATATTTTTGTATCTTTTAATGCCTGCAACTTTTGTTTAAATAATATATAATATTTGTTTGAATGAAATTGTACCATTTCACCCCTCAACATAATTCATAAAATAAAAATAAAATAAAAATAATAATTTTATAATCAACGTGTCAACGATGTATCGTGTCGGAACTTATTTAAAAAATCGCGTGTTGGACACTCGTGTCTGTGTCAGTGCTTCTTAGCCCTTAAGCATCTCCTTCAATTTCGAGAGGGGGAAAATATCGTTTGAGAACAGCGATCCCGCGTTCGAGCCTTCGAATTTATTCTTGACAACTTTTTGATTTCTTCATCTTCTTGTTGTAATTTTTTGTTATTCCTTTAAATTTGTGGCCCATTATAGTTATGTCAAAAATGGTCAAATTTACATCTAGGCTAACCAGCCTCCATGAAGATTTTTAAACATGGAACAACATAAATTAAAAAGTTTAAGGATGTTGTTTGCATTGTGCCATGATCTTGAAGTCTAACACTGGCTATATGTTGTATTTCGTTCTCTGTTTCCTTTAAATTTTTGTTCTATTCGAAAGAAATGGAAAATGTCACATTTAAGCTTTGGCCACCCATTCTTTTACGTAATGTTAGTTGATGAGACGAGTAGGGTATAGTGAAAATATGCAGAAGTTCAAATGGAATTTAAGAATCCTTGGAGTCCTTTTATTTTCTTTTAAATCCCTTTTGTCATCCAAGAATTCCCTTTGCTGTTGACCTTTCTGCATTCTCATATACGTCAAACTCATTTGTAATTATATAGAGTTGAGGGTTGCTTGGGCTTCCAGCATGGATAGGCTTTCCCCGACAAACATCATGGTCCACAGAGTGTTCATAAGATTCTTATAATAAGCTTAATAGGATAATAACCCCGCCTTCAACGTCAATCTTCACTTGTACGCTTTTAAGATCCTAAACTATCTTGTTAGAATCATCAATATGGTCTGAGATCTTCTACCTGTGCTTCATCTGAAATGCGTGCAGTCTCCTTTTCAATCACTTCAACCAGTTTACATCTGCACTCTTCCTTGGAGATTTTTCTTGCTCGTTAAGTTATCACAATCCAATTCTGCAGAATCCATGAGTCTACTTCAAAAAGCTCTAATTTGTTGTGAGAGAAATTGAAATGGAATCGAAGAGCCACTAACTCAAGATTGAAGACATTAGAGCAAGCATTAAAAGCAAGAAAAAGCAGAGGACAAACTTCTACAAACAATTTAAAGGGATGACAATGTGAACATGTATGCATGGTCATTACAGACTGCATAAAATAAGAAATCATAATATACACTTAAAAGCAGATGTGCTAACTAATCGAAGATAAATTAAGACCGACTAAGTTGGAATGAGCAGCATGTGTAGAAGTGTGATTTGAACTTAAATTTGATTTAAGAAAAGACTGACTACAAAGAGTTATACATTTATCTGAAGGAAAATAAATATATCAAAGAGGACCTCAAAGAAAAGGAATTGGAGTTTCTTTTCTATTATTCCATTGGTTCATTTTTGTGTGATGCAAAATCATCTAGAATATCAATTTTCCAGATATTTTTCTTGCTACTTATTTATGTGGATTTCAGATCTGCTTATGAAAATTCAATTTTTTGTGAGTCATTCCACCAAGAGGAATCTGGTTGGAGGGCATGCAGAGGATGTGGGAAGGTAATAATAGTTAGATGTGTACATCTATTGTCATGCATTTTTCTTTCTTTCCTCTTTTTTTTTTTTTTTTTTTTTTTGGGGTTAGTTTCTCACTTTTTTTAAATTTATTGGCAGCGCATCCACTGTGGATGCATAGCTTCAAGATTTTTGTATGAATACATGGATTTTGGAGGTGTAGAGTGCATAAACTGTGCAAAGCATATGGAAATTAATTTAATGCAATCAATGCAGGTATCTGGTTATTTGAGCTGCACATTACTTGCTCATTATGCATGCTAGCTTAGAGTATTTATACTATTAATCAATTAGGCATCATTACATCTATAATTTATTGTACTTGAATATATCGAAATTCGTTCCTGTAGATCCCTGGTGTTGCCATTCCAAATGGCTCATTTGTTACGAACAGTATTGGAGATGTGCATCCAACAGTTGTCGAGAGTAGAATTAATGATGAAAATTTTAGTATGGAGAGGCTGCTGCAGTTGACCAAGACTGCAGGGGCCAATGAACCTGGACAGCCCTTTCACTCTCATAAACGAGAAACTATGGAAAGGAAGAGGCACTTTGCAACTCGTACCCAACGATCGGGTGAATCATCTGCATTTACCAAAACAGACAATAGCAGGCCTAAACAAGGGGCTAAGGATGTTTATGAATCGATGTCACAGCCTCATCTAAATATCTCTTTGAGCACTCCTTTAGATGGTAACAGCTGTGGTTTACCTTTTGGTGCCGGAAACGCAGAAGGAAGTGAACAGAGCAAAGGCTCATCTGCTCAGGGGCAGAGGCCACGCAATATTTTGCTGAAGCCGCTGGTATCGGGCTCCGAGCAAAACAAAGGATCCGCACGGGTTGCAAGGCCTCCTGCTGAAGGATGGGGCCGCAATCAGTTGCTTCCTCGATACTGGCCTAGGATTACAGAGCAAGAGTTGCAGCAATTATCCGGAGAGTATCCGTACTAATTTCTTCTGCATTGTCACCATGTCATCCATTTAATTGGTTATGACATAAATTTTTTCAATTTGATATTAATTATTAGATATTTTTTATTTTATATGTGCTATTTGCCTTAACTGTCATCTTTTAGTTTGAAATCTCCTATCATACCATTGTTCGAAAAAGTTCTGAGCGCTAGTGATGCTGGACGGATTGGTCGTTTGGTTCTTCCCAAAGCATGTGCTGAAGTGAGTTTTCATTTTGGCCTTGATAATGACTTGTACAAGGATGTAGTTTTAAACTTAGCAACATTCCGGCTTTTATGTTTTTGCTTTTCTCACTTATATTATATTTTCAATCATGCTACAAGTACATTTTTTTATATCTTTGTTTATATTGTGCCACATGGCAACACACCATTCGCCAGTTTAAAAAAAAAAAAAAACACAGCTTTCCCCGCCCATAGTTTTTTGAAAACAAAGGAAAACAACGACAATGTCAAGGGGAGAATGTACATGTGGCTTTATCCTTATATTTTACACTAACGTGTTCTGCAGGCGTACTTTCCTCCTATTAATCAATCAGAAGGTATACCAATTAGGATTCAGGACATAAAGGGGAATGAGTGGTCATTTCAATTCCGATTTTGGCCCAATAATAACAGCCGAATGTATGTTTTAGAGGGTGTAACCCCTTGCATCCAAAGTTTGCAAGTACGAGCAGGTGACACAGGTATCCTAAAGATTTACTTTATTGTACTAACGGTCTCTTTTATAATCCTGAGTCTGAAACTTTTGCTCGTTTTCTTCTTCATTTAATTTTTATGGTTACTGCTGCTTATGTTGATTTTTCTTGCTACAAACCCACAGACTTTATTAGCAAATTATCCTATCTTATTAATCTGTGACAAAGTTTCCTTGTACTATTTTTGGAACATTTCTCCCCTTTTTTCCTTGACCTCTGGGTCACAATTAGTGGTTGTTTGAGACAGAGTTGCATGCATCCATATTTTGATGTAAATAAGAATTTCTCTTTTCACGCTGTATGGTCATTGGAGATGTATGGTTGGAATATTTTAATCTTGAGCATTTGGGTTGATGCGTATACATGCTAGTCAGTATTTGAGATAATCTGCTAAGTATCCCATTTTGTATGTTCTGTAACCATTTGATGGAACCTAAATACCTAATGCCCTTCATTTAATTTATTTGTCTTTTGGTAGTCACATTTAGCCGAAGAGATCCCGGGGGTCAGCTTGTCATAGGTTGTCGGAAAGCAACCAACGTTTCCGATATGCAGGTAGACTTCTCAGTCATTGGTCTGCTCTTTGTTTGTCTTTTTTGATTTCTTCTTTATTAGCTGCATTAAATAGCTTATGCATAATTCACATGCTAACAAGTAGGATTCCCAAACGCCTACCATTCCACATGGTGGTTCTCCAGGAGAAATGTCAGTTTCTGGTCATATCGATAACCTGATTACAGTAAGTTGGTCCCTTTCTATCAATGGGGTGTTAGCACTTTTATCTTTTTAAAACTTAATGGCAATTGAGATTGCCTTGATTTTCCAAAATTGATAGAATGGAGGCAGAACAAGTGAAGATTCTATGCAACGGTCTACGCCGATTTTAGAGAAGAAGAAGGTTGAAAACATTAAAAATAAGAGGCTTCTCATGCACAATGATGAAGCTATGGAGCTTAGAGTCACCTGGGAAGAAGCGCAAGAGTTGTTCTGTCCATGTCCAGCTTCCAACCCTACGGTTGTCATGATTGAGGATCATGCATTTGAAGAATTTGAGGTATATAAAAGTTCCATTTAGATTTTTTTTTTTTTGCTCTTTTTCTTCTTTGATATCTTCTTGTTGTTCGTATTTTCTTTAGACTTTGAGTAATGCTACACTATTCGAACTCCAGCATAATTTTAAGGTGCTTTAAGTGTTACTTCTATTCATGTTATTTAGGAACCACCAATTTTCGGAAAGAGGACATTTTTTACATCTTCCTTTTCCGGGTAAGGATCACCGTAATCTTATTGATGAAAGTAACTAATCTTCCAGGTTTTTTTTTTCTATCCTGTATATGCACATGAGATGAAAAGATTAAAGAAAAGACGTGCAATTGCACACTTCCTCAGTTTTCTATAATGTCAAAAATGAGAGTCGTGTTAGACAATCAACTAGTTCAAATGTTGTTTTTTGATGGTAACATTTTCATAAAACCAGCAATGTGGTAGATTGTAATATGCCATATAGATCTGAAAAAATTTAGTACTCTTTTTAGGGAGCAGGAACAATTGGCTCAATGTGACAGTTGCTCAAAATGGAGAAGGTTGCCTTTGCATGCTCTTCTTTCTGCAAAGTGGACGTGTTCAGAGAATACATGGGACTCAAGCAGGTCTACAATCTTGATTTTTCACTTAATTTATTCTTGGCTAAAACAATGGATTAAGTGAAAATTTTATTAATTGATGTGAAGTTTTTCAGTGAAATACCTGTAAATTTTTTGCTAGTAATATAACTGGTGAAGCATCAAAGTAATTGAGCTAGAAATACAGGTCAACAGCCCACAACCTTTTGCATCTTGGTCAAGGAAAGAAATGCGTGATAAATTAAACGCATAAACTTATCTACCCCGAACCCCCTCTCCAGAGGGGGAAAAAAGAAACCAAACTTTACTTATACGTTCTAGTATTACGTTTGTTTTTCAGGAGTTCGTGTGCTGCTCTAGAGGATATAAATCCAGGGGATCTGGATGCTTTCTTTAGAGTTATCAAGGGTATGAACCAGGGTAACGTTTCCTTTATAGAAACCTTTTTTCTTGTCTCTCACACATAAGCACGTAGCACATGCACGAACACTCCCATGAAGAATGACACATGGGCACCAAGTGCGTGTTTATTACATAGTACTAGGCTGGATTTTACAATATACTTACCAAAATTTTAGCTTTTCTCATTCTTGGTACTGTTGAGTGCTAACCAACAGTACAAAATTTACAAGAAATGCTTGAACCAATATCGCTTAAATGGGGACCGCAGTTACTTTCCTATCAATAGTAGTAATGTTCTCATTTTTGTTGGACGTGGATTCCATTCACACTATACAAATTTTCCCTCTATCGCTGATTGACCTAATATCAGGCATTTCAGTTTCAAGGGTATATTTATCCCCTGTTTGGTAGAGATTCTTTAAAACTCATATTTCCTCACTTACAAATTTTTTTTTTTTTTGCTTAATACTGCTCTTGTAATTGAGATAATGGCTTAATCCATAACAAGAAGATGGAATGTCCTTGTTGCTTATGTTTCTTTTTATGATAATCTCTAGGGGAACAAATCTCTCATTTCATATCCTCAATCCTTCTTAGGGTAAAAGAACGTTCATGTCTTGCTTTCTACACTTCACATGAATTTAGCAGAATCTGGCATGGGTTGCTAGATAGTTTAGGAATTCTAGCTCATTTTATATGACGATGCGACAACTAATAGATTAGACTAAGATGCTGAAGTTTGTGTTATTCGAGTCACATTGGCTTTGTATCCCATGTTGTCGTCCATTTTAAGTATGTGGAGTAGGTTGCTGCAACCTAATCATGTATGCTCTACAAGGAAGGTTCACTCATTTCTGGAATTGTTCAAATGCATAAGATGAGCTATTTCGTTCTTGGTTATTTTTAGTGTAGGTTAGTACGTATGTTCTTATAGAATCTTCTATTATATTCTTATCCTGCAAGTGCTTTCTTCGTACACAATACTAGATAGGACTAGACTATTTTGTGAACAAAAGTTTAGCTTTCTTTTCTTCCTATATACTATCCATTGTCATTCAATCTTTGTTGCCAAACATGCTGTATCACAGTATCTGTTTATTAAGGATTGAGTAGTTCTGTAGCTACTTTGTGTCAAGAAATGGGCTTACCATAACATTTGTTAATTTAATGGTTTCCTTGTTAATGCTACAATGAGAACCTGATGTATCTACAACTTGCCTCTGTTTTATTATGCCTTATCTGGTCTCTTCAATCACTTTCGGATTTTGATTCAACTTTCCCAACCAATCAACATTCATAAAATTTCATGAACTTCGTGATTATTAGATTCTAAGAGGCGAAGAATTGCAGATAACAGAGCACCCAAAGAGGGGGAGCCTTCTGGCTTAGATGCCTTGGCAACTGCTGCTGTTCTGGGAGACAACATGGGTGAGTTGGGAGAGTCTTCAGTTGGAGTTACTACAAAACATCCTCGGCATCGCCCCGGCTGCTCGTGCATTGTCTGCATTCAACCTCCAAGTGGGAAAGGTAAGCATCAGCCCACATGCAAATGCAATGTTTGCTCGACAGTTAGACGTCGCTTCAAGACGCTCATGATGCGCAAGAAAAAGCGAAAATCGGAACGGGAAGCGGAGCTTCTTGTCCAGGCCAAGGGTCCCTCAAATGATGATATTGAAAACGAAAAAAAAGCTGGACACGCATTGCTGCGTATGATTCAGACAGAAAATGCAGGTGGTACAAGTGGAAATCAACTGGAACTGGCGGAGGCGAACAAGGGACATCTCGACTTGAATTCTGATCCTAATCACGAGGACGACATGCTCAAAGAGGCTGCTGGGATGAGCTTGACGGCCTTGATCAATGCAGCTAGCCTTCCGTTGGATATGTATTTTGGACCAAATAGAGTTGGTCCTGGTTTGCTTTCGCAAGCTGTTGACAAGAGCGATGGATATGGTGTAGGGGGCATTGCATCTGGAAATGAGGCGCAGAATAAGGGTGAAGACGGGTAATTTGGGAGACCCCTCTTGAGTTGTATAATTTTTGGTGCTATTTTATGATGGATAGACTACAGATTTATATTGTTAATCTATAGATGCATCCTTTTGTAAACTCGGTTATCTTTTTCCCTCACAATCCTATAGTTTGTGTTATGCACTTATAAAGTGGAAACAACGGAGTTGATTGAGGGGTTGTTTGGCAATGTTTTTGATAAAAATTTTAGCAGATTTTGATAAAAGTTTTAGTTGCGAGATTCATTTAAAAAAAAATCAAAATAAATTATTCTCCACTATAGTTTTTCCATTGGAATTTTAATTCAATTCTTTGCTGGCAGGTCAAGTAGTTTAGATTAGTCCAAAGCCTGTGGACGATGGACCCCGTAATAATGCTGTTCTTATTTTTGGTTGTTGAAAAAATTATAAAAATAGCACTAATTGAAATGAAAAAATGACCTTTGAAAAAAAAAAAAAAAAGGAAAAAAGGGGGGGGGGGGGGGGGGGGGGGGCGCTCACGCTTTAGACCACTTCCGATAATAAATATAACGTTCAAAATAGAAAAATTATAAAACCTGTAATTTAAGCAGTTTAACAAAACTATATTTTTGTTATTTTTTCACGATATATCCCGTCATTGGTTTTACAAGTGAATGAAAAATAATATTTCAAATTCAATATTTTTCTACAAATTATAAACGAATTTATAGAAAACACAACTTTGATTTCACGAAAAAAAATGGTAATAATACAAAGATGTCGTTATGTTAACAGTTAAAAACCGTAAACGCATTTCTTTTTATTACTTTCTCCAATTTTTATAACGAGTGCATTGTTTTCTCCACGTACAAATATATAAAAGAAAGAGAAATACTATATGTACAGAATTTTTGTATGTATTTATTGATAGAAATGAGTTGGAATTTTTTTGGTCTTGATTGATTTGAAGCCAAAAAATTGTCATCTCGTATTTTGTCAATAAATCTGCAACCCAATTCCTATATAAGTAGCAAAATTATAAAAGATATACGGTTGAGAATGGATTTGATTTGCATTTTCCATTTTCATTATAAATAAGCCTTAGTAAACTATTAATATTCAATTTATTAAACAAGTGTTGATCTTAAATTTGTTAAGAATAAAACTTAATTTGTTTGTCTTTACGGACAAGTGAATATTGTCCTTTTCCATACATTCATTCACATAAATTATTCACTAAAGTGTATGCATATAGTCTGAATTTCAAAATACTAAACCATTAACCATTTATTGCAAATTACTACTTTGAACCAGTATGATTCAACCAAGTCTGAATTATAGGAATACAAACAACACCAGATAAAGGAGACTATAGATAGACTTTTACATGATCAAGTTTTTTTGCCCTCCCAATTGTACTTGACAGGCACCAAATAAAGGGGAACCTTTTTGCGAGTGATGAGTCCAAACTCTTCTTCCATGTTTATCTCCTCAGGCTTCATCCCATTTGGCAGTTCCCAATCAAAGCAATGCAGTAAATTTGCAATATTAAACATCACAGAAGTTAAGCCCATTGTCATGCCTGGACAACTCCTTCGACCGGAGCCGAAAGGCAAGTAATCAAAATTCTGGCCTTTGAAATCATAGTAGTCTTTGCCCTCAAATCTCTCTGGATAGAAATCTTGAGGGTTTTCCCATATTTTTGGGTCCCTCCCAATAGCCCAAACATTGACAAAAATCCTAGTTTTTGGTAAAACGTCGTAGCCACCGATTTTGCATTGCCTTATGGTCTCATGGGGTACCAGCATTGAAGCTGCAGGATGCAATCGTAGTGTCTCTTTCACTACCAGTTTGAAGTATTTGAGCTTTTCAAGTTCTGTTTCTTCAACAAAGGGTTTTCTACCCATGCAATTCCTGATTTCTTCTTGTACCTTTTTCATCACTCGGGGGTTGCGAGCAAGCTCGGCCATCAGCCATACTGATGTACATGAACTAGAGTCCACCGCTCCAAGAAATATGTCCTGACACGAAATTATAGCATGTTTTGTTAGGGAAGATTGAACAGTAGTTTACAATATCGAGTTTGGCCGAGTACGAATAGTGACAGACGTATGAAAATGATATTCTTCGATTTTTTCCTGATGATCATACCATTGAATCTGTGTGTGTATTTGTTGGTGCTAACATAGCTAAAACAAGCGAAAATTAATTGCTGATTTTGTACATATGCAGGATGGATATATTTAACAAGGAAAAATTGGATCTGAAAATCAAGAATCCAAAAGGGTTTAAGATTTTCCGATGAAGAGAAATTACTGTTAATAATGAAAATTTGATGAGAATCGTGAAGGTTGGACGAAACACAAAAAATTTCGAATGTTTGGTATACTAGATTAGACAATAAATAATCAGTTGCAGAACTTATATATATATAGAGGGATAAATTGCATACCACAAGAATTGCCTTAATATGATCTTTATTTAGCTTGAGAACAGTTGTACGATCCTGGGCTAATCCGAGCATAACATCAATTATATCATCATTCTCAGGTCTTGGCCTTGACGGATCGAGATGTTCATCGAGTACCTTTTGGAAAAACGCATCGAAATTACGAAAGCATCTCTCATGTTTCGAATGGAGCCCGGTAATCAAATCGATGATCCAACCGACTGATGATGGGAATAAATCTGATGCTAAGAAACTACTGAGCAAAAACATGGAATCAGCAACTATTTCTTTGATTTGACCATTCTCAAACTGATTAGCTTTATGGCTAGCACCAAATGCAATCCTACAAATTACACTGTTTGTAAGATTAAACATGGCGTCATCCATTTGAACTGGATTAGGTGCACCCTTCATTATTGTGCCAATCAAGTGCTTAACCTCTTCTTCTCTAATTTTCCAATAAGATTGGACTCTCTTTGAAGAAAACAGCTCCATAACACACAATTTTCGCATCTCTCTCCAGTACTCGCCATAAGGGCAAAATGCCAAATCCAAGAAATTGTAGGAAATCTTCTTTTGCCCCCGGGACATTGGCCTAGTGCAACAATCAACATCATAGGTTCTCAACACCTCTTTCGCCAGTTCCGGGGATGAGACGACCAGGGTCGGGACTTGGCCTAGTTCCAACAGCATGATAGGGCCATAGTTGTGGGATAGCTTCCACAGGGAATAATGAGGGATCTTACCAAATTGATGGAGGTTTCCAATTACAGGAAGCCTTGGAGGGCTTGGAGGAAAATTGTATACTTTTCCCTTTTTCTTCGAAAGGAGAAGGAAATATAGGATTGAAAGGAAAAGCAAAACATATGCAAAAAACCATGGATGAAGTGTGGATAAATCCATTAATGCTAGTATTTTGGCAATGGCAGGAAGAAGTGATGAGAGTGAAAAATGTATAACGCCTCTCGTATATGATTACTACTATGTATATAGTAGAGATGTATGACATATGAGGTGGCAATGGAATACATGTTAGGTAGCAATGGATCGCTGATAAATTATTCAATTTCATTGTGATAGACTTCGTCGAGCCATATATTATTTAAAATGAGGTTGATATATCTAAAATACCACTAAAAAAAATCTGCACTTAGTTGCAATTTAATTTGTTCGATTTAATAATATATTAACATTTAAAGTGTTTTTGCATACACAAAATTTATTGTACATGCTCGTGAAAATTTAAACCAAAAATTAATTATGAATATTATTGTAATAAAATATTTTAATATTTTAACTAATCATATGTTTTATGCATACAAAAATTAAATATTAACAAATGAAAATTCATCACTAAAAGATCATATTTATAAATTTAAACTTGAACAATTGTTAAATATGAACATGTAGTTTTGCCAGTAAAATTTAGCTAAAATACAGTACATGTTAGTTTATTGACCTTTAAAGCTTATTAGTAAATGATTACCATGTTATATAATAAAATGTCATATTAATCTCGTATAAAAATAATTACAGCATTTAGTAATATTATAAGACTCTTTTGGTCATTTGATATTTCATTGTTCTGCAAATAATTCTTTTGCTAATGTCACTTACAAACAAAATAAGTAAATTAATTAATATCATTTATAAATAAAATAAGTAGTTTTATATGATTAAAATGTAAACTATGTCGAATGAGATTTTGATATAGCTTTTATTTGGTGAGAATTAAAATAGATTTTTAGTAGATTTTAATAAAAGTTGCTAAAATAAATGGTCAAAAAAGTGTGAATAACATGAAATACATAGTTAAAATTAATCATTTACTTTGCCTTATATTAAAATTTAGATTTTAATTCCTACCAAATAGGGGCCTAATACATCCGTTTACAATATTGTAGTTTAGTTTTAGCAAATGAAAGAGTAGACAATTTCAATTTTTCTCTACAAAACCTCATTTTAGATGATATAAGATTTAGAAAGTAGTTTCGATATATATAAGAAAAACGGCTCAATCACTTATCTTGAAACTTTTTAGTTTCGAAGTTTGTTTGAGTATTTCAAAAGGTTCTTCAACTTCAAATTCGCTTTAAGTCATTCCATTAAGGAGATAGAATCAACATCTTTTGCCTTGTTCATGTATGTTGCAAGATTTAAGTGTAATTCCAAGTTCTCTTCTTGATCAGCATGCAACATGAAAAGGATGAACAAGGCATTCGGCCATGTGGCCCTCCCTAATCTTAGGCAATGAACTGGTTTGTTGACTTCCATTGTCCCGTCCCCACCCCACACACTTTTTGTTTTGTTTTTTGTTTTTATTTTTAAATTAGTTTGGGCATTACACGACAGATACTAGGGGTGGACATGGTTCCTTACGGTTCAAGTTCCAAGAGAACCGAACCGAACCGAACCATAAACCAACGATTTTTTTGATAATGGAACCAAATGATTTTTTTGAAGATATGAAACCAAACTATTCGGCCCACCCCACCCCACACACTTTTTGTTTTGTTTTTTGTTTTTATTTTTAAATTAGTTTGGGCATTACACGACAGATACTAGGGGTGGACATGGTTCCTTACGGTTCAAGTTCCAAGAGAACCGAACCGAACCATAAACCAACGATTTTTTTGATAATGGAACCAAATGATTTTTTTGAAGATATGAAACCAAACTATTCGGTTCTGGTTTGGTTTAATTTGGTTCTAATTTAATTTCTTAAATTTTTAGATTTGCATCATATAAATTAATAATGTATACATAAATAAGAATTTAAATATCAAACATTTAGGAAGTTCAAATTTCAATCATCGAGATCAAAAAAGTCATTACTAACAAACAAAACATATTCTTAATTTGAATACATAAATCAGTTTTCGTTTTCATACAAAAAATTGTTTAATAAGTAATAACAATGATTCATTAAATTAATTGCAGTAGTTTTGAAGTCACACCCCTACAATAAAGAATGAATTATCAAAATTTTTACAGTCCACTTCTACAAACAACATTAATCGTTTAATATGTCATAAATGTTTATTGGGTTTTCCTCTATTTGTGAAGAACACAAATAACTCATCAAACAATCAAGGTAAAAAAAGAGTTTAGAGACTTTTTAAGTAACTGACCAATTTCATTTTTCAATCTTAAATAACACTTCACTGACTTGATGAAATGCGGTACCACTATGCTGGACGTTGTGTAAATTGAAAATGAGTGAATGTGAAACAATTCAATTGAATACAAAATTAAGGTGTAGACAACTAATGAGTTGTTTATCTCTAATGACTCAAAATTGATTAATAGCATGTATTCAATCAATGGGCTATCTTCAATGAATATAAAATTAGGGTCTCTACTAATTATTATATATAAAATAAATATTAAGTTTGGTTCGGGTTTTGGTTCTGGTTTTTGAACTAAAACTGAACCAGAACCGAAACCAAATGGTTCTCGGTTCAAAGAATAAAAGCCATTAATTTTTTGGATAGATCCAAACCGAACCGCTTGGTTTGGTTCTGGTTTGGTTTGGTCTGGTCTGGACATTTTGTCCACCCTTAACAGATACTTCCTTTCCTGAGTAAGTTGACGGGATAAATACTTTGTTCATCACAAAACTTTCAAAATGGGTCACTTTGGTACTTGAACTTATTTTTTTAGCATAGATAGTGACTGAATTTTGTTGCAATTGAGTCAGTGACAAATTATTTGTTTGCCGACTCAATAGATTTGGTGATATGTTTGACGGTGAGACTTATTTTTTATATGAAAATGAACAATTGGGTACGGGTCAACCAAATTGATTTTTAGAACCTTTGCATTAAGCCCTTTTTCGATGTAATTGAAAAGGGTGACAAAAATTTAAGTCAAAGTTAACAATTAATTTTAACTTTATATTTCATGGGATCTATATTTGTTATCAACTTTTCAACCATATTTTATCAAATTTTATCAAAATCTACTAAAAATTTAATTTTTTAACAAAATCATACAAAGACTGAATAAACTAACCATTTAAGAGGAAAAGTTTGAAATGTTTAAATGGGTAATGGATGAGTAAATTGCATATGAAAGTGGTTGTTTTGGCTTATTAATGCAATCTCGTTGAACCCAGTAATCACGTAGCAATGATGCCAAATTTCTCAACAAAACCATTAATTTTATTAACGGTTATGTGGAAAGTAGTATAACTAAAATAATTTTGTATGTCCAATGACCATGTGAAAAAATATTTCAGGCTAAAGGGATAAAATTTGAACGTTTGGCGACCAATAAAGTTTTTAACCCTTAAAAATTCACTTGCTCTTGAATCTCGTTAAACACATAGCAATGATGTCAAATTTCTCAACAAGACCATTAATTTTTTATTAATGGGTATGTGGAAATTAATATAACTAAAATAATTTCGTATGTCCGATGACTAAAAAAAAAAAAAAATCGTGCTAAGGGAATAGAATTTGAACGTTTGGTGACCAATAGATCTTTTAACCTTTAAAAATTGACTTGTTCTTGAATCTCGTCAAACCCTGTAGTCACATAACGATGATGTCAAATTTCTCAACAAAACCATCAATTTTATTAATGGGTATGTGGAAAGTGATATAACTAAAATAATTTCCTATGTCTGGTGACTATCTATGCAAAAAAAATAAAAAAAAAATAAATAAATAAATACATAAATATATATTTTAGGCTAAAGGGATAGAATTTGAACGTTTGGTGACCAATAGAGTTTTTAACCCGTAAAAATTGAATTGTTCTTGAATAATACAATAATTAAATTTGATATGGGCCTCTAACAACTTGGGTTTTGGCATGTACATGAAATTGCATAGTATGTGGTATAATTTGATAATTTATTTATTCACATGTAGTTAGTCCTTTTTTTCAGTTATTTATTTGCACATGATGTACTAAGTCTTTGAATATGTATTTTTAATATACTAGTATGGTTAGCTTATTAATGTAACATGCAGTGCTTTGTAATATCAGGTTATATGTGCTATTTGCGGTACTATAAGACGATATGTTAGATTCTAATTTTAAAATAATATTGATTTTTAGAACCTTTGCATTTAGCTCTTTTTTGGTGTAATTGAGAAAATTGATAAAAATTTAAATCAAAATTAACAATTAATTTTAATTTTACATTTTATGGGATCTACATTTGTTATCAACTTTTATCAAAATCTACTAAAAATTTATTTTTCAACAAAACCATACAAAGACTAAAAAAAGTAACTGGTTAAGAGGAAATGTTTGAAATGTTTAAATGGGTAATGGATGAGTAAATTGCACATGAAAGTGGTTGTTTTATCTTATTAATGCAATCTCGAACATGGTAATCACGTAGCAATGATGTAAATTTTCTCAACAAAACCATCATTTTTATTAATGGTTATGCGGAAAGTATATAACAAAAATAATTTCGTATGTCCAATGACTGCGAAAAATATTTCTGGCTAAAGGGATAGAATTTGAACGTTTGGTGGCAAATAGAGTTTTTAACCCATAAAAATTGACTTGCTCTTAAATAATACAATAATTAACTTTGTTATTGGCCTCTAATAACTTGGGTTTTGGCATGTACATGAAATTGTGTAGTATGTGGTATAATCTAAAAATTTATTTATTCACATGTAGTTAGTCATTTTTTTCATTTATTTATTTTTACATGACGTACTGAGTCTTTGAATATGTATTTTTAATATACTAGTATGGGTAGTTTATTAATGTAACATGCATTAATGCCTTGTAATATCAAGTCATATATGCTCTTTGTTGTACTAGAAGACGATACGTTAGATTCTAATTTTAAGATAATATTGATTTTAGCCCTTTTTTGTGTAATTGAAAAAGTTGATTAAAATTTTGTTGGGAACTTTATGCTAACTCCCTTTATTTCTATTTACCCGCAAAATCTTTTGTTGT